GTTTAATGACGTTCATGTGGAGTATATTTTAATCATTGCCGGATTAAAATACAGTGCTGAACTGTTCCATATGGTGAATTCACTTGTTTCTCTGTTCCCGCTGGAACTAATAAGGCAGTCCATTTTCACCCTCTAAGTCTCCAGCATGTGCCAAAATGACTGATTTACAGCTAAGATGTTAAACAAACTCTCATAATTATGTATGTGTTATAGTTTACTTTTATACAGCCGCAGTGTGCAGCAGTTCACCGTCCTGTTCACACATGGAGGGTGTGGGCTTGAATTTATAAAGCTTTACACATAGGAGTCATTCGAACACTAATCACATATGAGACTCAGTCTGTAGATCTCAGTTCTTTTTTTAAAAGCATATCAAGGCACTCATGTACTAGAATGTTTATTACCAGAGCACATATATTCAGCAGAAAATATGTGGGCCTTTCATGCTATTTTGAGAATCATCCTCGGATTGTGCTGACTGTTTTTTTGTGCAGCAATGATTTCACCTGCTTTGTTTTGTCTTTCTTTATACATCCCCAATGGACAGCTCATGAATAGACATCACTGTATCGCATCTTACTTTTATGCAGATGATATCCAGATGGACGGGTTTCCTTTTATAAGGCAACTTACTGGTACATTCATTTATACCATTAACAAATCCTACACAAACACAGTTTTTTTGACCAGCCAATGTCTTTTTTTTTTTTGTAATTTGAGAAATTCAAACAAAGAAGTTTTCATTTAAAATTTTTATGGTTTTTCTTTCCTTACATTTAGACCAACATGATGATTTTTCTTGTCATAGTAGCTTCGTCTGGTCTGTTCCTGTTTGGCTGTGACACAATCCTGGGGAGAAATATCAGCTGTGCTTCAGCCATCAACATCTTTTTTTTTTATAGATGTTGGAGCTTGGCCTGTTTTTTCAGTGCAGTCCTGTTTCTGTGACAGTGACTAACTGTATGTGCTCTCTTCATCCTCTGACATAGAAGCTGGCTTGGAGCTCGTCTGCCTGGCTGTGTGTTTCCTGGATGGGGCCACCTTTGGAGCTGGTTGACAGTTGCTTTCTATATCTCTGCTTCTTTTTGTATTTCTGCTTCTGTCTCCTTTAACTCCAGTCGGCAGATGGCTGCTCACATGAGCCTGGTTTTACTGGAGGTTTCTTCCTGTTAAAAGGTAGTTTTTCCTCTCCACTGTTGCTACAAGCATTATTGGTGTGAGAAATAGCTTTCGAGTCAAAGCGTCGATGCAATCTACTGGTTTTCCTTCCTAGAAAACTTTTAACCAATCTGAATGTATGATCCAGTTGAATTGTCTCTGTAAGTGTGTTGAGATGACATGTGTTGTGAATTGGTGCTATATTAAAAAATTATTGAATGTAATCGAATGATGCATGATGATGTTTTGCATACATAGAAGCTCTTGATCACCCTCAGGTAGTCCAGAAATGTTTTTCCACAGCCTTGCAGCAAAACTTGTAACGGAAGTAACAGAACAGCTGTCATCACTCCTCTTTCTATGTGTTTTCACTAATTACCGATTCATTTTACACTTTATTTTACAGTTAGTTTACAGACTTAAACTTTCAGGGTTCTGAATATGAAGCTTCTTCCTAATCCAATGCATTGTTAAAGCTACTCACTCCAATTCAATGCCTTAGGTCTGGAAACTCAAAATTGACTCAAACTCTCTAAAGCCAGATGGGGAATTGTTCTCTTTGGCTGATGGATATTAAATGTATAAACTAGCTTTCTTTATTTTTACTGTACATTGTCTTGAAGACAATGTTTCTGTTTCTTTTGTTTGTTTGTTTTATTTTTAATTATCAATATACGGTAGTTTAATTCTTCCTTTTTAATTCTCTTTTTTGATAATGTTTACATCTTTCCTCTCTGTCTAATTAGTGGGTTTTTTTATTAATTTGTTTTGAGGAGTCTATATAGATCAAATGTTTTGACTACTAACCTAATAGTAGACATTTGTGTTCCTGACAGGCAGTTATTTACAGCGTCCCTTGTTGCACTTTCCGTGCAAACATACTGTAGTCATCATCCCCTAAAGGAAACCCTGCACCTCTATTGTCAAAAAGAATAATTACAATTTAACTGCATTTTGTATGTATGAAACCATGTTTTGAAAGTAGTACTTGAGGCCTGGGACGAAGGTTTTCAAGGCAGTCATTGAGGAGTGCTTGTGAGCGAGAGAGCATGTGTATCCATTTGGCTTTAGATGTTTTGTGAAAACCATTTTGCCTCTTCTGTTCACATGGAATACATATTACTTAAATATGTAGGATGAAAAAAAACATGCTGGGGTCTGTCCTTAGAGACCGCCTCCTTCAAACAACCTCTAACCTGCAGTAATGAAATAACTTTATGTAACTGTGGATATTTTTTTTAAGTATGTGCTAAAAAAAAATGGGCTGAGAAAATACATCATGCGATTCTGGACATGGTGACATAAATGAGATTAATGTGATTGGGAAAACCTGTGGGTAATAGATATTTCCTTATATCTAACTTGCCATTAAACACAAAAACAAAACTAACACAAAGCAGAGCAGGGCTTACATTTCTTAAAGCATAAATGCATTTTAGCAGATATGAATGTCAGTGAAAAGTTTTACTTTTTTTAATTGAATTCAATGAATCAACTCAAAAAGCGAAACAGATTTATTAAACACTGGCTAACGCTAATTAAAAAACACAAAATTCAGTTTCGCAGATGGCAGTACAGAAAAGACTTACATACAGTCATGTTTGTGATGGTTAGTGGTTGAGGTGAAGGACTACGAAGCAAAAGGATGAATGCGGTTAGAGGTAAAAAAAAAAAAATAGGAAAAAATAGGAATTCAACTGAATGCAAATATTAGCAACAGACACAATTGACATAACTGGACAAGACGAACACTAGAGTTGATAAAATAACTAAACAGACCATTAGTAACCAAGGATCTATTAAAAAGCTAAAAATCCTTCAATCAAACAACAGTAGTCAACAAAGTAACAAAAGATAACTTAATTCCTTCATGTCCATGGTCTACGTCTGCACATAGGGAAGAATACTAATTTGGCCATTCAGTAGAGAGCAAACAGTACCCTTCATAAGGCAGGTAAACCGTAAAAGGTCACTGCCAAAGAAATGGGCTGCTTATTAAGCTCAGTATCCAAGTCTGGCTGTAAATTCAAGTGGAAGACTTATGCTTGCCTACCACTTACCTCTTTCTTCACCCTTGTTCCAGACTTTCATTTGCAGCTCCAGGCTCTGTTTCCAGCTGAACTGCATCTCTCTTCTGTCCCTTCACTACATTCGTTCCACTGGCCTCTATATGGGTCCCCTCATTATCCAGCCTCCTTTCCACCACCAGTGTCAGAGGAAAAGATGTCTCTAACCTAGATCTTCCTGCTTACACAGATCTACAACATCTAGCAACAATGTCTTCTGCCAGGGTCTGAGCAGCAAAGACTTACATTTCTTCATGTCAATAAAAGTTTCTAATTGCTGCTTTTTTTGGTTCCAGGCTGATACGGAAAGTTAAGTGAAGATAGAAAGTTAGTCCTAAGCCACAGACTAAGTCAGAGCCATCTTATAAATCAAAGAAAAAAAGGACCAAACTTCTGCTCTTTGGTCTAAAGTGCTCTTTTTAGATCAAATGTAAATGTTAGTCTCTATCTTGGGAATGGGTGTTCAGAGTGTGAAGGAAAACTAACGCAATTCAAAATCCAGTTTGCTTGGGGCTAATTGTAAAGTTTCCAAAAGCAGCATATTTGGTATCTGTTAGCAGGGCAGGACATGAACCAATTATGCAAAATTAACTAAATGTGATTAATAGATGCAAAAGATGCTATGACTATCTATTTCAAGTTCAAAGTTAAAGCAGCCATACAGCACTTAAAGGGGAACGTCGTTTTTTTTTTATATTGGGCCCTTGATTTTACGTTATTACATCATGTTCTACTCACCCATATGAGTTTTGTGTAATTTGGAGCCGTTCTGAAGATATTGGGTTAGGTTATATCCAAGTAATGTCTTCCTATGGGCAACGACTTGAAGGCACAAACTGAACTGTTCATAATTTATCATTTATGGTACGCCAGCAAAAAATATAACAGCGGATGTCTGGGGGACAGTGATTCGCCTACATGTTATGAATGCTGGCGTACCATCAAGTCCTTTGCCCATAGGAAGACGTTATTTGGATATAACCTAACGGAATATCTTCAAAACAGCTCAAAATGATACAAAACTCATATGGGTGAGTAGAACATGATGTAATAACGTAAAGTCAAGGGCCCGGTGTAAAAAAAACAAAAAAAACCTGTGTTCCCCTTTAACGTTTCCCTTTGCTAAGCTCAGCTAAGATTCTATTCAGACTTTCCTTACAGGAAAGTATGTCCTTCCTTTACAGGACTTACACACTCTAATGGTACCAATACCATGGAATCATTGTGCATGATTGGTTGCTAAATTGTACTGACCCAAATGAGACACCCCAATTTAGACCAACTGAAGGCCGATATTCTCCATACTCAAAAAATTATTCATCCGCTTTTAGCTGCTTTATCACAATTGTTTTAAGTCCTACCCTGCTAACATAAAACATTTGTGTTAAAGTAAGTAAATGTTAACAACTGTTGCATTATTTATTTTTTTTCAGTGTATGCATTAATGCATTAATTCAGAGCACCAACTAAGTAATGAGTGGATATACATTAGGGTATGTTTTGGAGGATTTTATTTATCTACAATAAACTTTAAGTTTAAACAACTTGAACTATACGAAGCTGTGAGTCCATATATGAGTTTGAAGTTGCTTTAATGAAATAATATTATCACATTTTAATTTAGGGCATCTTAGATGCACCTGTACAGATGAAGGAGTTGACCTGCTTGAATGTTTGGAGGATTCGCACGCAGATCTTTGCAGGCTTCAGCATCCTAACAAGGATTCAGTTTCAACTTGGCTGCAGTCTGAACGCTCCGCCCGCTCTCACAGAGGATATTGACTTTCCCGCAAGTTAAAGCATTTAAATGTAGAGGGAGGCAGATGCTGCTGGCGACCGCAAAAAGGAGCGCACGTGTGGGTGGAAGGCTGGGGACGCAGGGACTTCTCAATCTGCGCCTATAGACAGACAGGCAGCCGAGGCATCTTTGTTTGCCACTTTTTTAAAGAGATGCGCGCATCCTCTTTCCTCACACTCCGCACTCTTCTGGGACAAAAACTGTTCACCCAAATCTAAAACCCATCACTCTCCAAGATCAGTAAAGATGGATTAATTTCTACTTGGAAAAGTCTTGTTGAATAACTGAATGACAGAAGTGGATTTGATGGAGGAGCTGGGGTGACTGACGCTCTTTGCAGGACTTCTTTTTCTTTTGGATGAAAACATTTTCTCCTCTCTGTGGAGTGAACCAGCGTTGGAACTCTGAATGTTCTGGACCGCTTAAATGTCATGGGTTTGGTTGTCAGTGCGCATAAAGCAGGTTAATTCAAACTAAACCCCCCAAACACCCATCTGCAGGATTTTTATTTCTGAGGGCTTCCAGCGCCGAATCAGAGGAGTATTCATGAAGCAATATTTGAACTATTACAGGATGAGGCTGAGAACATCGAGGTTAGGTTATCTGTAAGTCAACAGCTGTTCTAAATGTCAATAACATTACTACTTTTTTTTTTCTTTTGCAGAAGTCTATTAATATTTTTGTGTATGTTGCAGGTTACTTCAATTCGCGGCTCTTTGCTTTTACGCACAGGTAACTGCCCATTCTAATTAAAAAAAAAAGAATAGGTTGCATAAAGTTTTAATTTTAAGTACAGTTTAACATGTATCTGGTTGATTACTTAACGGCAAGTAGCGCAACTCCCTTCAAGGGGCTGCAGTAACAATGAAAACATTTTATTATGAGGGCTATGGCTGTTGGCAACTATTCAAACATCTTGAAAAATGTTAAGCTGCAGCCTAAAAGGTAATTGTTAAAACACATGTGCGGCAGGACGGTTGAAATGTTGAGGGCGAAAAGGGAAAATAGCAGAAAAAAAAAAAAAAAAAGGGGGGGGGGGGGTAAGAAGTCATGAAAAGGTGAAAGATCATCGGTGGTAATGAATGCGTCTCCAAAACAGGCCACCCATAAATCAAAGGAGACACCAGGGGGCTGCAGGATAAAATAAATACAATAATAATATGTATTGCCATTTGTTTCCTATTAGGACACTGTGCAGTCAAGTCCTAATTTCAAGCAGCATGTAACGGAGCAAAGCCGGCTGTCGGACCGTATGAGCCGCAGACTAACCAGAACCTACCAGCTGTACAGTAGAACCAGCGGGAAGCACGTCCAGGTCCTGGCCAACAAGCGGGTCAACGCCAACGGGGAGGACGGGGCAGTGCATGGTAGGAGGAACACAGAAAACTGCTCTAATATCTGCAAATTCACTCAAAGGAATAGGAATATAGCCTAATCACATTAACCTTTAAAACAATTTAAAAAAAAGAAAGAAAAAAAGAAAATTGAACTGAACATTCTCCCTAATTGACATGTCTGTTCTATGCAGTATCACTGACCACTA